GTTCAGTGATGACTCTCTGGCACAGTTCACGCTTTCAAAACCACAATGTGCTTATTAAAAACATATTATTCATCGCACAGCCAGAGAAGCCGAAACAATGTTTTGCTCGATGTTAAATGAAGAAGACAGGGATATATTTCCTTTTCTGTTCTGTGCCATTCTGAGATTTGTTTCGCCTTAAGGTGCAGTTTGGTTTAATTGTCTCATTTTTTGATTGTGTAATCGGTGCCTGTTTGCTCCTCACTGATGATCAGAGAGAAACTGAGCAGGGAACACACACACACACACACACACACACACACACACACACACACACACACACACACACACCTACACACACAATTAGATAAGTTAAAGAAAAGCCTCAGTCATCTTCTGATCTGAACCAGTAAAAGACACAGAAGAAAACTAAGGATGAGTCATTTGACTGACTCAGGGCTACAGCATGCTCAGAGGGAGGTCAGTTATGTGCAGCATGTTTTTATTTTGCGAAGACACTTTTAATTATCCTGTAATCAAAACTTTTTGTGTTGAAGACATTCTTGTGTCTGCACTGATATTTTTTGACCCCATTTGCCGCTGCACCACAACACATAACACCGCGCCTAGCCCCACAGTCCTTGTTTTCCTCATTAGACTATTTCAAATGCACTTTCTGAAAAACAACAATGCATCTGCACAAAAGCAGCCGACTTCACTGCATCTTCACTGGCTTGCATCCTGCCTAATGTGGTGGAGGACATCCATTATGTGCGCTATGGGACAAATGCCCAGCGCGATCATCTGAGAGGACTCGCGGTTTGTGCACATGGCCTTCAGAGGCAGCAGGAAGCCCCATGTTTGCACACATATGAGAGGACAAGGCTTTCCTGGAAACTGGCAGCTCATGTCAGCTGGATGCTTTCATCGCCACTCAGAAACAAGGACATCACATCTGGGATCACTTATAGATAAAAAACTGGTCACTGCCACGCGGTGATGGAAGTGCTGTGCGGTGACAGATATCCATGCAGTCATGGCTATCCTCACACTGAACCGTAACTTGTGAAAACGTTGCGACAGACACGCTTGGTTGAAGAAGGACAAAGAAGAACACACACTCATTAGTGCTCCACTTAAGAGTAAATAAATCTCTCATCGACCGAAACTGCCCCCAACTACTCTTATAAATATAGAACTGGGAAGTTCCTTGTCATACAAAATGAAATATATCAATTTAATGATTATATAATATGAGCCCCAACCAATCTGCATGTGCAACTTTCCTTGGTCTGGTGAACTTGTTTTGGATCTTAACCCAGAAAGAAGAAAGCCCCCGTTTGAACAGATCTTAACGAAGCACCGATCGCTGTACGACACAGCAAAGTGACAGACATCCACAGAGACAGGAAGAAGCCCATTGGACCATTCCATCCTTTATGCTTGTGATTGTTACATTCAGTGCTGCGCTGAAAGAGAAGCGCAGATTTCTAAGGTCATTGACGCTTCGAGACAAACCGAGTCTAAAATAAGGAAAACTGCGTGAAGTTTTTCTTTTCTCTGGCTGTTTTCTGTCACTTTGACCCGTGTGATAACTGTCAGCGTCGATGCATATGATGTCTGTCATTCTGCACCAAGACCTGAAGTTATTCTTTCTTTTGGTTCTCCTGCCAATAATCGCACCGAGATTGGACAGATTTTCTGGGTTGTAAATATTCAGAACCTGAGCTGTGACACCACACAGTGAACGCAGCGATCAGCATGTCATGTCCAGATTAAGGGACCCCATCAGGAGCCAATTATGGTCACAGTGTGTTATTAAGGAGCAGAGAAAACTGGGTTACAATGCTATTTGTGGGAATAGCTTTGCCCTAGATTTCTCTTGAGATGGCAATTTTTTGTCAGTTGTTGTTATGAAGCAAACAAATCTTCACAGTGTGGGAGTGGACGTCCACCGTGTAGTTAACATTACTCGTGTATTAGTGAAAGCAAATATCACTTAATGACATGAAATCATGAAGCAGAGCAGACATTAGGCACAATGCCTCTTATATACATCTCACCTGTACTATACAAGGGTATATCTATCTATCTATCTATCTATAGGCACATTTCTGAGACAGCTCATTGACGGAATAAGAAAAATAAGGATAAAATAAAACACTTTCTTTTGATCAAGTACATTTCTTCCTAAGGCAGAATCGTATTTTATAAACACTAAAGCCGCCGGTTCCAGGCCTGTGTCCAGAGTCCAGAGTCACGGCCTGTGACGGAAAAAGAATTTACGATCCTGTTCCTTTTCTCCTTTTCCACACGTTGACTCATGCCTGTGTAACCTTCTCTAAAAGCAGCAGAACCCAGCTGCTGTGGGAAATTATTGAGCCTTTTTAAAAACTGAAACTATAGTCGTGGCCCTTTTTAAAACATTTATTCCCTCAGTGGGATCCAGTGGGATTGGGGCAGTATGTCACCGGAGACCGGTTAGAGATGTCAGGAGGTAATAAAAGATGAGTTTGAACATGGTTTGTGTTGTCAACTACAATTTTATAGAAAAAAAACGACTTTATATGGATGATTTTAGAAATAACCTTTTTAAAATAACAATGTTTTGAGTCCACAATCATTGTTGGGTTTTCCAGTTATAAATTGAAAAGGGAATTATGGATCCATTGTGTGAACGATCATTAGGGAAGCCTCTGATTTGAGGCACACATGCTGGATTCATATAGACAGAAGGGCCCTGGAGGGCTTCGCTGCATTATGGGAGGCTTTGCTTCACACGTCCTCTCTGAATGTACACACTGTTGAGTCGCATGCAGACCGTAGGCAGGAAGGCCAGCTGTCTCACATTGAATTTTTCAGGAGGGGATCTTTTCAAGAGCCTCCAGAAAATTGTTACGTTTCATTGTTACTCATTGTTCAGTATCAAGACAAATTCAAAAATGCCTTCTTAAAAAAAAAAATCACCTGACTACCAGTGAAGAATTGTTCAGCATCAAGATGATGAGTAGCTTTCATCCTGCATAACTAATGACTGCTCCGTCTTAAACTGCCATGACTGAACATTTTCAGATCCAGGGGGCTGATTGAATAAAAGCTTTGTGCAGTTTTCTGGTCAATTATAACACAAGAGATGTTGTTTCATTTTTTTTTTTTTTTACTTAAAATGAAAGGCCAAGCTCCCACTTATATTACAGAGTTGTTTTTATAACCAGTTATATCACTGGGCTATATACCAGAAGGACACCTGAGGTACAGGACTGAGGTCATGCGTAGGTTCTGAGTGCTGAGCATCGAGATATATGCATTCACAGCAGCAGAATACCTGTTCACACTGATTTAAACACTGACCTTGTTTATTGGAATTAGTTTGTCAAAGTTGAGCTGAAAACAAGGCTCAATCCACTGGGGGGAAAAGGCCCAATTATCTAGGAGGGGAGCTCGACTCAGAAAGGCAAATGATCAATTAAAAGAACGTGTTGCCATGGCGTTTGTTCGTCTCATAGCAAAGCTGTGAAATCCCTCCTCAGAAGCAGAAAATTAAACCATGAACATTTGGTTCCAATCCATTAAAAACATTTTAACATCATCATTTTTTGTACTTTCCACCTGCAGCTGTCAGAGTCAAAGGTCAACGTCCCAATTTTCACAGAGGAATCACCCGAGGGACTCGCTCTAATTGAGGGAACAAAGGGATAATCAGTGGAGCCTGAGTCTTTTCCGGTGTGGCTTCACAGGAGGACGATTTCTCTTGCAGTGATCTGTTCGGGGACAGTGATTTGAAAAAGAGGTGACATGAGCTGACCACAAGCAGTCACTCTCTCATCTGGCGGTGTTTTCTATTTGTGTCAGCTAACATGTGTTTCTCATGATGGGACCTGACACCTCCCCTGGAGCAGGAAGGGCATCAAATTGGAGGGAGGCTATAGGGGGAAACAACACTGACTGCAAATTATGCTCCGATTCACTAAAGATGTCAAAGGATGATATGTGAAATTTGTAGCATTGGCAGAAATGTTTTGTTCGGTTACTACATTTGGAAAATCTACTTTTACCCTCTTGTATCTCTCAAATTGGCAGTTTATTACTTGAGTGGCCTAAAGAATGTTCCAAGAGCTGCATATCTGGCTCAAATGGAATTACTGTTGAGGATTAATGGGAAGGTTTGGGGAAGGATTACTATACATGTGGAGTTTATACCAAAGAGGGACAGTGCCAACTTCTGCTCATCCACAGACATGAATATGAATTGATAGGTTATTTAATTGCATTCCCTGCAGTTGATGTGAAACACACACAAATTCTAATGGGCTGTGTGATACTGGATTAAGCTCTCCATTTTGGATGAGTGGTTCGACGGTGGGACCCTCTGGGGCGTTGTGGAGAGGCACCCAGTGGTATAGGTAGTGACTTGGTGTGTGCAGCAGCAGCAGCAGCAATGAATCACTGGGAAACAATGCCTCTCTCTGAGCCTGAGCTGTTTGCTAATGCACAATCATTTAACAACACAGATAACAGAGGATAGTGCTTTGAGATCATTGGTGTGGTTTAATATGCCGTATAAACTCACTCCTGCAGATTTTACTTAAATGTGCCTGTTGTATCTGGTGCATGTCCAATATTTTGAGTTGATAATAAAGACCAGTCACTGCAGTTTGTTACTTAATAGAAATGTTTTTTCTCCCCCACAGGCAAAGTACAATTTAATCTGATTCTGCACACATTCTGGAAATCATCTGTGACCGGGAGGCAAGAGCATAAATTTAGCTCATCTTCACTTCATCCTCAGCCTTTCACTCCAGAGCGTTTTCTCCTCTCGGAATCCAAGAAGCGACTTATTATTTCTTCTTTCTTACACTAACTCACTCAAATAGAAATGCCAGCAGGTGTGGCACCCACCCCTGGAAGCACGGAGGTAGACGCTCGTGCACGCGCGCGCACGCTCACATATGACTCATCTCGTCTAAACTAAAGCACTTTGTCAGAGGCGTCCATTCACGTTGCACCCATGCAAGGACGCGCAGACTCAATCTCAGTTTGGAGCGCGACATTTATAGTCAGCTTGGCTATATAAGTCCATTCAGCATCTACTCTTTAAGTAACTATATACTTGTTTCTTCAAAGGAGGTGAAGGAGGAGCATCTCGCCAACTACCTGGCAACCTACCCGAGTGTACTGGACCTCCTCTAAAGACTGAAGGTGCGTAAAGCTTCTTTTTATTTCATCCACATTGTTAGTTTGTGTGTGTGAAGCTTATTTGGCACGTCACATCGTTTTCACAGATCAAAAAGTGGATTTTAGTCATAAATGCATTGTTATTTCGCAAACAATCTTGTTTTATAAAATGGAAACACGTGTAACTTTAGCAATGTTACTTTCACTTCCACAGTCCATCCATTAGTGCGCCAATTATAATCTCTCTTTTACGCGCAAAGATTTCACATTATGCATCAGTTCCACGACCCATTCGCATGACTGATACAGATGAAGCCGTATTAATGAAGAGTTTTACAATAATAACTCAACGTTAACACTTTATTTCGTAGTTTCCAGACCGTTACATGTTTCCAATGTCCGTTTCTCCGTGCGTAAATTCCTCTTTTACGCAGCACATTACACACCAGAGTTCAAATAAAAAAATATGCCTATCCCATGAAAGTAAACTTGGGATGTCCTTCTCTTTCCCAGATTCCTGTTGATATCCTGACATGAAGCTCAATTTACTTGGTACCACCGTGATTCTGCTTGTTGCCTTCTTGCCGCGCTACGAATGTCGGGCTATTGACAGCCCTGGCGGTGCACTGCGCGTCCTTGCTCCCCAAACCCAAAACTCCCAGCAGCAGCAGCAGCAGCAGTCTGGCCCCATCCTGGAGCGGCTCGGAGAGGAGTACTTCGTCCGACTGGGCAACGGGGACTCTAACTCTTTCCCATCCTCGTCCATGTATCCTGCCGAATCGCCTGCCATCTATAACAGAGCGCTGCAACTCCAGCTGACGCGGCGTCTTTTACAAGGGAAAGTTGGGAACATCAGGGCGCTCATAGGCGGCTTCGAGGACCGCGGTGACGACTCGATGGAGAGGGGCAGGAGGTCCGAAGACCCGCCGATATCCCTGGATCTGACCTTCCACCTGCTGCGGGAGATGATGGAGATGTCCCGGAAGGAGCAGATGGCTCAGCAGGCGCAAAATAACAGAAGAATGATGGAGCTCTTCGGGAAATGAAGAGCTCCTTGCAGTCCGCCAAAGATCTCATCTCCCTTTCTTTTCTTTTTTTCTTTTTATTTCTTCTTTTCTTGCGTTTTTGCCATCAGCACAAAACATGCTCTGTACAAAATAGTGCTGCTGTATCACTCTATTATTTATAGCTTTAACCTCAAACTATGGAGCATAAACGGGCTTGACCCATAATGATCTGATTGTACCCTTCCATTTTAATGTTGGTGTCAAATCTGTAGAATCGCACCGGTCTCCATATCTGAGATGAAACACTTCTGTTTGAGACATGGAATACTGCATTGGCAAAATTGGCATTTTGTTTTAGATTATGGATCACTGTATTTATGATATTTATGTTTGTTAATAAACTTATGTGCAACCAGTCATTTTCTGTTGTGCAAGAGAACGTCTTATATCTATATTTTTTAATAAAAAATTAAAAGCACTGCTTACACCTCTCTGTGCACATCCTTACAAGTGAGTTAATAGTAACTAAAAAAGAAAACAAACTATTCCCACTTACTTAAATCTCTAATTTGACTCTCATATTGTTTATTGATACATAAATTTGTAATCTTACATTGAAGAATAAATGTTTACTGCAAAGCAAACGCTTGGTTGGAAAGAGCACAAATGGCCACTGTATCTTGAGACTTGCCTACACAGATATTGATTGACAAAGGTTCTTTTTTCTGACTGAATACAAAAATCTTACATGGTGTTACCATGGCATTGATCTGCAGCCAAGTCGTGGGCTAACACCATGCCTCCTCTCCATCACACAGACACAAAAAGAGCTGAAAAAACAAAACATTTAACCAAAGGATGCTGTGAGAGAGCGCCCGCGGCCATGCAGGTGAAGAGCACAGCATCCTTTCTCCTAAACCCTTAATCCTCAAGAGACATTTCTCATTATGCCAGTAAGAGGCAACAACAGACAGCTCAAAGATGCACCACTGATAGCTAATGAGTGTGAAAGATGCGTGTGTGCGTGTGTGTGTGTGTGTGTGTGTGTGTGTGTGTGTGCGTGCGTGTGCTGTTTTGATCCTTGACCCATGGTGTCAGGGAAAACTAAACAAGAGTTATAGATGTGAGTCATCCTATTCTGTTTTGCCCACTTAGCAACTTGGGGCTTAGCGCTGCATTGAGCCCATTTGTAAAGGATCCAACTCAGTGAGAGATGGTGAACAATAATTAGATGGGACTCCGTGGCAGACTTGCTGGGGAGTCACAGCAAGGTGGGACCATCGCAAGGCAGCGAATGGACAACTGATGGCTGGAGGCTCACTGCAGCCTCCTATGTACAGTAGGTTGTGGGCAGGGATGGTAACAGGACCATACAGTACACAGGGATCTTATAACTGTCTGAACCAGCTATAAAAAGAGCACTAATGCCTTTGCTCGCTGGATTTCCTTCATCAGAACTAAATGGAAAAGAGTGTGAGAAATAGATAAAGGGATGGAGAAAAAGAAGTCTTTTCCCTGTACACATGAGCACAGAGAGGATGGGAGTGGAAATAAGATGTAACTGAAGATTGGAGCTCTACTTGTTTGTACAATTTAGTTTTAATGACACATAAAATATAATCGGAAAATATACCTGTGTTACACGACTAATAATACAGGCCGTTTTGTGTATGTGAAATACTGAAATGTCACAGTGATAGTTTTGTATGCAGGAAACCCTAATAATTAAGTCATAAAGTATACGACAGGGAGGAAAACCTAAGGCCGCCTGGTTCTGGTTGCTGTCTAATGATGTAGTTTTAGCTGTGGGTCGGAAAAGGTCAGATTCATGAAAATGAAACGTATGATCATGTTTGAATTCTGGACATAACCAAACTTACTCCTGTCTGTCATTGAGTATGTCCAAAATGAAAAGGAAGAAGCAAAACTTGTTTTAAATAAGAACAAGAAAAAAATCAGTCCATAGGAAATGATGCAAGCTCAAACAATCACAGCAAGAGATAAAGTGGAGAATAGAAACCTCTGTCTCTTCTTTTACGTCTACCTCAGAGACTCAGATTTTCCCTTTGGCACGGATCTTAATCCATCTCACTGTTCCCCCAATCTGGAAGGAGAAGGATCACAACTGGCCTGAGACCAACATCTAAGACAGACACTTATCCAGCTCTTGGTTTGGGTGCTGTCTGGGCTGGACGGCTAATTCGAAGCAGGGCTCATCGCCACGGTGGGCGAGGGGTTTATCTGCTGAGGAGGAGGAGACTGGCCGGAGGCGGCTGTGACGGCGCTGCCTCCAGAAACAGTCTGGGCCCCGTCTCCTTCCTCTACGCCTGCTTCTCCGTCCTCTTCCAGATCGTCCTCGTCGTCCTCATCTGTAACAGAAAGGAAGGAAACATACAGTAGGTCAGATAAACTATAGAAAGTATTCCACAGAGAGATCCACAATGCCCCATCTCTGGACACTTGGAGTCCACCTCTACACCAAGGCTTTTAACTATTAGTTTAATTTTCCCCAGCTAGCATTTCTAATATTATTTTCTGTCCTTGCTTTTTACCTTTGCTAAGGAGCTTATGTTTTAGTAACCCGTTTGTTTGTTGCAATGTGTATATGCAAGATTATGCAAAAAATACTGGATGCATTACCACAAAACTTGTGGAAGGATGCAGTATGGGTAAGAGAAAAAGCAATTAGGCGGACACAAGACACTTTCAAGACAGAGGGTTTTTCAACATTTTGCTTGATTTCTCCGAGACACATTGTTCTCAATAAATAAAAACAGGCAAGTTTAGAGGACGGATATTTAGGATTGTGTGCAATTTGGCAATCTAAATAAAAATCCAAATCTGGTGAATTTAAATGTGATTTCACAAGGGGGCGGTTGGGCTTCGGCTGAGGTATTCACTCTGATAAGTTCCATTCTGGTTTTATTTTTTAATTTCCTGAGCCTGTAAAGCAGTCTTTAGTACAAATTGCTATTATTATTAGATTACTGATCTGTTTACAGTCAATTGCAACCATGGCTGAACTCTGCCCTTTCACCTTGGATGAAGTCGATGCTGCGCAGGGCCTTCGCCTCCCTCTTGAACTCGACGCTGTAGTGATCCATATTGTCATAGCCGCGCTCAACTTTATCCAAGTGTGCCGTGCTGGATGCTTCTGCAATCCTGAGCGTAGAAACAGCAGTTATCATATTTATAGAGAGAAAAATATCACCCTCAGATCGTTGATGTAACACCTGCTATATATTGTCAATCTGTGATGTTTAGCACATTCTATCAGCTATTTCAAAATGCCTCTGCTAAAGATAGGGATTTGCTGCATTTCACAGAACTTCACTTTGGCAGCTGAAAGACGGCAGGTGTGATCTCGCTGCATTAGGCTGGTGGATCTACGTATCGGTGCGGATGTAAATTTGGTGAATGACTCACTAGAGTATGAAAAAAACAGGTCAATAAGAAATATTAAAAAGATACACAGTCGCAGTGTGAAGTCTTCTATACATCGCAAACATAACTTCTTTCCCAAATATCAGGGTGATTATAGATGCATAGAAACATGTACTCACTTTTTGAGGAGAGGCTTTGTGCTCTGAAAGACACAATATAGATAAAGACAAAATTCCCATTCAACTCGGCATATAACAACAAATTTTAACCCCCATTTAGGGCCCTCATTTTGTCTCTGACCTGCAGGAATAAGGCCATCTCTGCCTCCTCCATGTTCTGGATCCCCATCTCCACAATCTTACAGCTCTCCTCCAGGTGGTCTCCGTACTTCCTGGTCAGGCTCTGGATATAGCTCACCTTCTCATCCTGTTCAGCTGTTACCTTTTGACTCATCTCCCTCTTCTTCTCCTCCAGGACGGAGTATAACTGATCAAACTTCTCGCAAACCAGAGTCTTCTGCCTCCGTCCGTTCTCCTATGTATGCATGAGTGTAGGGGGAAGGATTACAGCTCCTATAAGTCTGTCTATCTCCTGTCTCCTATAGTCATCAATCCTCACACTCAAATGGAGACAAATGTATATAAATGCAAAGCAACGTTACAACTGAATATTTGAGCCAGAAAAAATATGGAAATTGTTGCAGCCTTCTGTGCACTGTTGTGTGAATAACGTAAATGACAAATATTCTGTGTAGCCTGTCCTCTGCTCAAGGGGGCTGTGCCATGTGTGCAGGGTGGACAGTGTGGCTCATTATGTCTGTCTGTCCTGAGTGATGCCAATGAGGGCAATGCATGGGGGGGGGGGGCACTCCAGCTTCCTCTCTACTACAACCAACTGTGGCGTTTGAACCATAGGAAAGCTGTCTTCTCTCCCCCCCATCAATTACGCGTCTCGTTTTTAATGTCAGTGTGCAAGAAGCAGAATGGAGAGCCCCGCTAAGTGCATGTAGAGGAACATGTGGAAAAGAGGGGATGTAAGATAGACTGAGCCATTGTAACATTAATTCCTCTCTCCACCTCGCTGTCTACACCTTACAGACAGATAAAAGCAGCGAGAGTGGCAGTAAACAAGGACGCATTACTTCTGTTGATCCGACTGTGCAGGTGAATGCAGGTGCATTAGTGTGAGCACTGAGTGGGGCCAGCTTGCTGTGTGAGTGAGAGGTCAGGCAGCTTGCAGCAGTTGGACACTGACCTCTACGACACGACAGGCTTCCTCTAGCTGACTGATAATTCCTTGGATCCTGTCATTGTTCCCAACCATCATGGTGATCCCGTCACTCAGCTCTGTCTGGGGGGGCAAGGACACGTAAACACCTGAGATCAAGTGTGAATCAAAACTGGGTTATGATGCATTAAAGTCTGTCTGTCTGCCTAACCAGACAAACACCCACCCACCCACTTGTCTGTCCATCAGTTCATCCCAACAGTATCCATGGTTTCTATGACTACTGTCAGGCCTCACCTTCTTAGTCTGGTAAATGCTGCTGATGGGTGCCACCTCACAGTCTTTGTGAGCTCCGAACACCTTACACATGGAGCATGTGGGCACACCGTGGGTCACACAGTAAATATTGATCTTCTCTTCCTTGTGGACATCGCACATGGGTGATTCTTCCGACCTCTCCTGCGCTGGCTTGCTGCTGCTGAAGTGTAAAAAAAACAAACAACAGTGGCATCTTCCTGTCAGGCCGTACATTTGATTGCATATTGGCTGAGGGCTAAGGGCTCCTTGATAATGTCAAAAGGTACACATGTCAGTAGTTTATTGACGATCCATCAGTCTTGACTTGCCGTGCACATGGACTGACAGTGCAGTAATCAATGCAGTGATCACCATATTGCTGTGTAGTACACAGGTGTGGTGCAGGTGCACAGTGTTTTATTAATTTGTCTTTCCTGTAATACTCATCTACATTGTCTGGATCATTGTCTGGATCATTGTCTGGATCATTGTCTGTAAAATATGTCATTGCCCACAAATGTTCGATCCAGTGTGAGGACGAGCATCCAGAGTGTGAGTGGATCTAAAGTCACACAAGCCTTTTAGCGATAGTCATCTGCTAACAACTATGTGAAGAGATGACTCCAACTAAAGACATCCTGTCATCCACTCCAGCTCTATGACTCAGACGCCACTGGCACTAAAACCACTAGCTGCTACACTTTCAATGTGCGTCAGATCCATCTCACCTGCTTGACTCCTGCTTGAACATATCAATAATATTCTCGACAAGCAGGTTCCTCTGTAGCCCGTAAACTCCGTGCCTGTCCAGAACCACCTCGTGCCGGCAGGACGGGCATCGGAAGCGGCCACCTGACGTCAACGAGCCACTTCTTGTTGGAAGGTATGGGTTTGATGCCTGTAAGAGGTCACATTCAAACACTAAATTAAAGTGGCATCAATCAGGATTTGAATCGATAGTGTAGCATGTTGGGGGTAGATGGCATGCCCTAAGGGGAACCCGCAATTATGCTGTGTTGTGAGATGAAGATGTCTCTAAGCTAAGCCTCTGTTCTATTACAGTAATTATGTTAGTTTGTGGTGTTTGTTGAGGATACTGTTGTGAAGGGTGCATTTCAGTTACATGAGTGAATCTGTGGACAATAGTAACCCCACTAGAATGGACATGTGAATGAAGTCTGTGATGAATAGATTACCTCCGCAAATTATTTGTGGATTCCCGGTAGGATCAGTCTTCTGTCTGAACTAACTCCCTAGATTACTCCCTCTGCCAAGAAGTTAATGATTTCATCTGCATTCTTCTGTTTGTTAATAAGCAGGATTACGCTCAAACTACTAACTACTAAAATAGATTTCCATGAAACTTGGTGAAAGGATGCAGTCACAGAAGAACACGATAAGAACACAATTTCCCCCTGGGATCAATAAAGTATTTCTGAATCTGATAGACTTTGGTGTGGATCCGTATCAGGGGGCAGATCCAGCAATTTGCTTTTCTCTCTCTTTAACATTGCATCATAGGGCATTTCTGTTGACTTCTCACCGAATAATTTATAGATCTTGATGAAAAAAAATGATCTGGCATGTCGAGGGGACTGATATCTATGAGTGTGTGCGATCCAGGTAAAAATACACATCCAGTGAGTTTGAATGCTGTGTCATAATAAGGGGGATGTTAGTGGAGGTATGCACTCTGTGCTGTGTGCTCTTCATTTCACTGGGCTGTTATGAAACAATAATCCACTGCTTCAACAGTCTTCATTGTATTATCCATTATAAATATTATATTATACAATTATAACACAATCACCCAGATGTTCATATTGGTTGAGAGGTGATTTAGAGCAGGGAGTAATAGTTTTGTACATTAATGCCTAAAACTTTATTATTATAATCATAATAAAACAAAGCGTTGATTTTCATGTGAGATTACACACATGTTACATATGTTAGCAGCTATTAGTTCGTGAAAAGATCAGCTGTTAGTTAGTAGTGTGATGTAGTATCACAGCAGTTTCCCTCGATGATAACACCATGTCAGTGGGTCCAGTTGCCTACCTGGAAGACATCGTTGGCACATTTCCTGCAGAGGTTGTGTTGACACGGTAGGATGACCACAGGCTTTGTAAACATTTCCAGGCATATGGGACAAATCAGCTGCTTCTCCAAGTTCTCCATGGTGTTCATGTTGTGACCAACCACAATGATCGAGGCTCGGGAGGGTGGCAAAAACCGAATTACACAAAGCTGCTAAAGTTAGCCAATAGTCCTGTGTGCTGCAGTAGGCCCAGGGTCAGGCTGAGGCCCTGCTGCCTGCTCTCGTCTCTCGGGGTGTGGGGCTCCTATCTCGCTGCTGTCACTTCTGTTTATAGAAGCTATTGCTGTCACGTCAAAGGTTGCCATTTTTACCTTGCCCATATTTGAAACCGAGCAGGGCGGCGCTGAACAGCTGCCCCCCAGGCCTCAGCACTTCCATCAGAGCTGACTGGAGGTTTGAAACGTGGAGTTAAGTGTTGTTTTCTGCACCACGTGTAAAATATCACGTTACACAGCTTCGATTAGAGGTCGAGACTGTTGAGGTCTTCAGACAGGGCTGATGTTTTCTGCACGATTAGATATAAGATATTCCTTCTAAACATCAATCTGAACTTCGCCCCATTCGAATAACTAAACGTTTAAAATGGATGAATAATAGTATTCAATCGAAAAAGTACACACAACAAAGTAAATAAACACGCTGAGCTTGTATAAAAACATCTGTTACATGTTAGTCTGATCAAGATGCTAAGTTTAAATGCTAGCTAGCACCCTCAGGGTTCACAGTGGAAAAACAACAGGTAAACAAAGGACTCCAAAAGGACATTGACATCGTCCACTAAAAGGTAATGTAACATTATCTAAGAGAACATTACTCATGTACAGTATTAAACAAACTGCGACGTGTGTAAAATTAGCATTCATTCACTTTTTGTTGTGTAAAAGTTAAGCTAGCCAGGTCTCTGCACCTGCACGATCAGCTAACGACAATCAGGCTAAAGAGAGCACCTGGTTCTGTGGATAAACTGTGTTGTGTTGATGTCCAGCGACAGGAAGTAGTGAAGGAAATAGATTAAAAGTCAACTGAGGTGAAAGAGTTCTGCGTTTTAATACGAAATAATAATGAGAACAAAGCTAAAAAGAAAAGTTTCATTGGAGAATGCGGGCATCGATCCCGCTACCTCTCGCATGCTAAGCGAGCGCTCTACCATCTGAGCTAATTCCCCGTGTAGGCCGCGGTGCAACCATAGAACATCTATCATTACCACAACTATCACAGCACGACTAGTTACTTCGACGTCAGTAGCATCTGAAGCTAACTCCAGGGTCCATCGACAGTATTTGGTAACTTTGCCTGATAATTGTGTTCGAAGGTTTTTGTATTTTATTTGTCAACAACTTGACAGGGACGTGCTGCATCTCCGTGCAACCGTCCTGTCGTCGCTTAGGTCGACGTCACCTCTGAAAAGAAACGGTGAAACCACGCGACGGAAGCGGAACTGCGGCCGTGTACCACCGTTCGATTCTGTTTAGACCTTAATTTTCCTCCACTCCCTTCATAAGGGAATGCGGCCACCGCAGCGCTCAGTTCACCTTCGATAGCTCAGTTGGTAGAGCGGAGGACTGTAGTGGTTACATGGGAATCCTTAGGTCGCTGGTTCGAATCCGGCTCGAAGGAGGGATGTTTTTTTCCCACGTAGCTTAATAATTATTGTTTTTATAGGTTATGCCATTTACTCATGTACAGATCAAGTAAAAGTACGTTACAAATATAAGCTTGACTGCTGAAACCAGAAAACCTGCACCAGAGGACAAGTTGTTTAAAATCTTGCATTAAAATCTATACTGTAGTTTTGTAGTTTAGAGAGTTCACCGTCTGATAACGTGAATCAGTGCTAGACTATTAAATTTAAATAATCAATAATCAATAATCAAGAATAAAACAGGTACATAGCACTTTCACTGTGTTTTGTGCAGAGTGTACCTTGTATGTTTTGATTATACAAAAGCAATATGTGACAAAAACAGGATCTCTATATCGAGGCAGGATTCCTGATCAATCCTCTGGTAACCTGGCACAAATTAAATATTTGTTGACCAGGTCAGTTGATATTTTAGTGAACAGATCCCTGTTTTTCATACAAAAAGTGTTAGAGTTCAGATTTGTAGCACAGTTTTGATTACAGTGGAGGTCTCTCCACCGTTGAGCTGCGAACGATCACACCCACAAGCCCCTCAGTTCCAAAGGGAGTTTAAAGGTGAGCGTTAAGTGTCTGACGCAGTTGCAGCTACAGCGAGACAGTGTCATTTGCTTCAACTGTGAAATGGCCTGTAACTATGCTGCAAACACATTCAGGTGGATGAATTGGAAATAATGCATAGCTGTTGCACTGAGGACTGCAGCAAGTGTTATGCACTAAGTGGCTTTTTTATAATGGCTGTTACTCTTTTGTGTTGCTGCACAAATACTAGCCTCTGTCCAGCAGAGCTATTTAAATCAGGGTTTGAAAGGTTTGTACGAAAATGCCATACCTAATTTCGTACATGTGTATGTGTGTTTTTATTTAATGTTAATATCTTTATGATGTCTGAATGGTCTCTCAAGGATGGACCGAGAATGGAATCTCCTTAAAGTGTGGACATTTTACTGCTCGTCACAAGTTCAAGGAAATATTCTTTAGTTAAAGACTTTGAAGTTGTTGATATCTCCCAAAAACCTAGTGACTTGATGCTGCTAACACTGCAGGTATTTTTATTTATCCATAACTCTTCCTGTCCTTTCAGGAGGAATCTGACCTGACCTGACATCTATGAATGACTGATCCTCGACATCCTTACAGAACATGTTCATGGCAACAGCACAAGCAGCAGCTACTTCCAAGGTCACAGACGACACACAATCCCCATTCAAGGTATTTCATATTTTCCTACCAATAAACAATATCTGTAGAGTCACTTTACAATGGCTTTTGAAAGGTGCTTTATGCACACACAGAAAAAATTCATGCTCTACCCACAAATACCTGCCCACACTGTTCAGCTGCATACAGACAAAGGAAACTGTGTATTTGTCCTCTTGGTGTCATCTTTTGAAAAGATAAGATTATAAATGATAAGATTAGGCACATACATTTTTCCTTTCTGCTTTATCTTTTTTTTTGCGATTTACTACAAATGATGTTTTCTTGTCACTCTGCGATACTGTGGTTGAATCGCTTGATTCAGTTTTAATCAGTAATTTATCAATAAATGTATTTATCATACAGGCTGAACCAGTATGAGTGCATATTCATTAACTACAAGCAGGGGCTCGCCAAATGCTCCACATTTAGACGGCTCCTAAAAGTGAATTCAAATGAGTTCAATTAAAACATGTTCTGGGTGATGGCTTTGTGATTGAAGTGAAATCGTAATTGTCAAGCCATTTCTGTCTGACTCATAATATTGCAGCTTGTCAAATTAAGAGCAGTTTGGAGATTTCTTGAAAAGCTGACATGAATATACCATGCGGTGCTGCTCTTGAGGCTAGACGCTGCTGTGACCTTGATATCCCTCCGTTTTGCTCAGTGGTGACATATGGTGTTTTGAGTATATAGCAAAAGGGTCTGCTGGTTGTAACAAAGCCACGAAATGCTCAACGTAAGGTTTTACACACTCACACACAAGCACATATAAAGGTTTCTTAGCTTGTAAGCAAGATAAAAGTGTATAAGGGACCCGGGCAGGGAGCAGAGCAAAGGGTGCCATCTGTTCTCCTGTATGAATATTTCAGTTAGGTGGAAGTCATATTGTATTCGTACAGATGGTAAGGAGCCACTGTCCATGATTCAAAAGGTCTTGGGGAAACATTCAAAGATAGCATTGTCTATTTCTGCTTTTCCACATTCCTCCTAAAAAGAACCACTGAAATAAAAAAAAAGAGTCTTGATTGTGATTGAGAGTGTCGCATAGTGCAAGTATTTGTACCATGGATTGTTTAAAGTCTTTACAAGTTTTGATGAGCAGAATTAATGATAATGTGCCAAACAAATGTGTATTGATGTCTGGTTTCCTTTCAGAACACCAAAACTACACAAGCACGACAAAAACACAAATAATGACGTGTTTAAAAAAGTGTAATGCACGTATACACCACAGCTCCATTCTAGTCCAACCCCCATACTGTGTGGTCATGGTGAAGTCATAGTAAATTAGGCCCCAAGAGAAACCCATATCAGTTTATTCTGCTCATATTGTCCATCTGAAGCACATAGGTAGTTATAACCACAGTCAACATTGGCCATGCAGAAGTATATTATGGGAAAAGGCAATGTGTAATATAATAATATTTTAGATAATGAAAATTGATATAAAATGATAAAGCTGCTTTTCCAAAAATCCTGTTTAGTATAAATAGGTTTAGTATACAGTGGATTTGTGTGATAAATGTAACCATCACACATTTGTTGAATGTGTAAACCTTTTCGACATACTGTCACCTCATCATAAGAAGAAAGATGAGATGAAATCAAACAGACAGTTTTCCACACGGGCTTTTATGTAACATCTTCTCCCATACAATGACGTAAAATAGACGTCAGTGTGCGTTAATAGGCGCCGCTGCAGCTCATGGTCATGGGAAACAGAGATGTGCTCAGCATTCAAGTGCTTCTCTCAGCCTGACTTTAGCGTCACACCCTCTGCACCACAACAAGTGTAGACCACAATATTTCATGTTCAACACTTTTGCTTCCAGCAGCTTGGTGTTTACACAAGAGGTTGCCTGCCAGGAGTTAGCAGGTTACTCTTGTGGTATCTAGGTAGTAGTAATAAATAGTATGCAAATAGACATTCAGACTGCAGTTATGGTTATGAATCTTTTAACATGTATTCTCATAGATGTTAGTCGTTATTTGAAAGAAGATTATACATTTGCAGCTAAATCTCTGTGTTGTTGTTTTTTTTAACTTTTGGACTCAAATCAAAAGAGGACAGAGAGCTAAGAGTCTCTGAAGGTTAAAGTATAAAGTGATCAGGAAGTTTTATTTGACTCAGAGAAAGTGTGACTCAACCAAATAAATTACCACAGCTATTCAATAAAGAGTGGATTCTCATTTACAAAACATTCACCCTCTTGGATTAACCCATTACTCACCTTTTAAATCTGGATCCAAGTGTCTAAACAGCGCGTGGTGTGCTGTTACATCATATTAACCAAAGAGCTTTTCCATTACAGCACATCAGTTTTGGAAAATGCTGATTCTGATTGTGTTGATGCTGCCACCATTTTAATTGTATTACTTTAAACCATCAAATTCCCTTTGAGCTAATCTACATTGTAACGCTGGTTAAAGGAGCTTCATGCTACAGCCACAATTGAAAATGTGTGCTGGCCTTTCACACAGTAAAATGGTGCTATCTAGTGGTAGAAAGGCTGTGTCAAGTACATGCACTGTTGCACACTGCATCACTGCAGTCATCAGATAATAGAGCTGGCGTTGTACTTGGGCCCATGGGGTTACAATATGAATCATAGTCTTTACAATTATCAAAGACTATGTAGTAAATAATGTGGATAAAGTAGATTTGTCACTTGAGTTACACGATAACTAAACACAGAATTAAATAGTGCAGCTGTCACTATACTGGAGAGTTTAATCCTCTTATAATCTTAATATCTGTGCTAATTCCCAATTATTACCTTCTGTATACGAACCATTATCCATATCAGTTTAAAGTAAAATGATAAGTTAATCTATGTTAATTTATTACTGAAAATGTATTTGGTTGTTTTCTTTTGCTAATGTTGCTGATATCTATTTTTTTACCGAATGTATTTTTTTATTTTACCTTTTAAAAATGTTTAAACTAAACTAAATTAAATTTACCATATATTCTATATCAAAATGTAATTTTTGATCCACACGTCCTGGTAAAGACACTTTTTCACCACCAGATGGCTCTACATACACACAACTCCATATTTTATGTGTTTGTAATATCTAATATGAAAGTGTACTGCAGGATAGAAAGGTTTATTTCTTTCAGTATGTCCTAATCTTAACATTTCAATACATTAGTTGCAGAATGACTTCATAATTTGGATTAACTGAATGTAATTAACTGTAGTAGCAATGTCGCCTCACAGCAGGAGAGTTCCTGGTTTGAATTCCCAGCTTGGTTGGGTTCTCTTGGGTTCACTCTGGCTTCCTCCCATCATACAAAGACATGCAGACTGAGGATTACTTTAATTTGTGAGTCTCTGTATATTGGCCATGCAATACTATGGCAACCTGTCCAAGATGGACCCTGCCTCTTGTCCAGATATCCTTGCTATCTTTAAAGAAAACAATGACAAGAAATGGTTATGTCACATAAAAACATCTTAAAACAAGGATGTGAAAATGCATGTGTGTGTCAATGTGTATGTTTGCAGTTATACAAATAGAATGTTCAGGTCAAATAGCAGTATAATTGTAAAACTGCTGCATGGGCAATCGAGCAATGGCTTATAATTCCAGTGATGCTCAGTGTCATTAGAAGGCAACTGGTAAATCAATTAGAGACACCATGGGGGATTACAGTCTGTCTCCAGAGAGCAATCAGAAACTCTAGAGTCAGGGGGAGTGGGGCGCTGGGGGCCTCAAGCAGAAACAGTGCTCATGACCTCAGGGGGAATCAGCAGGTATGCAGCTCTGTTGTCATATGAAGCCTCAAGGCTGAAGCTAAAGTAGTCAAACACACCTGTCATGCAACAAAGGTGTGCCTCTGCATGGTGTGTGTAAGTTTGCATGTTTGTCTGAATGTGGCAAGTGAATGGGGCTGTGGAGGAAATGAATTGAAAGAAATGCCTCCGATATCCTTCTCCCACGTGTGCACTTAAAGGAGGGAGTGTTAAAAATGCACTGTCCTTTGCACACACGTGACGCACTATTGACGCAGTCATATACCACATCAAGCAGTTTCAGAGTTGTCTGGCAACAACAGGTTTGTAAACTGTGAATGCAAGAGCAGTACCACCCATGTGTGGTAGACCTCCTCTGTTCTGTTTGAAAAAAAATCAAGATATGACATGTGAGTCATTTACACTAACACAAATGAAAAGTTGTGTGGTTTCAAATACAAACACATTACCTTAAATAAAAAGTGGATGAGATCACAGTATACCCCCGATTGAGTTGGCAGTTCCAGCCCTCTTTCCAGCCCTGCCTCTGTCAAAGCCCTCACTTGTTGTGTTTTGGCTGTGTTGCCTTAGTTGCCTGGAAAAGATGCAAGACCTCTTTATGGGGGGTAGCCTATGATTGTGGGGGACTACATTCAGACCCATGGAAATAGGGAGGGAGGGGATTATGCCTCCATTGGCACTGGGCCTGTCTGTTGCCATGGCACATCTATTGTTCCCCCCAGCAGCACATGGATATGGCACAGAAACCTCCAGTGAAAATGTTTGTTTTTTTCTGGTGCCGCACTGATTGTGAATTATTTGATTCACTGCAGCATACCAACAATAAAATAATAAAACACCTCAGTATCTCAGAGGCATTTTGGTGCAGGCAGTAAAATCTTTGTCTGCTTTTACAAAGCCATCTGCACGTGTCTTGAGTCACCACATGCTGTCATGGGGGAGCAAATTGCTTGAGCTTCACAGAGCTGCGACCTTTAGCTCCATTTCCTCGACTGTTGCATTTCAAACTCCCGGCGAGTCGAAGCTCCCGGAGTAGTATGAGTCATGAGAGGAAGGTAATCACAGGCGATGATGTGGAGCGCTGCAGGGCAAGCCCCGTTGTGGAGGAATACCCTTGAGAAAGTCCACACCGCCTGCAAACGACTGCTCACACAGGTAAAACGATCACCCAATCCTGGACGGCCTATTATACCGTCTAAGCTACGTTGTCCAATCAGCGTCTCGCTTGCAGGAAGAGCTTCCACCCCATTGGTAAAATGAGACAAGGGCGTTTTATTTTTTTGTTCGCTCCAACAGCACCATCTCTGGCAGGTGGTGTGTGCGCTTTAACCCGCACTGTAGGCGCATGTTTCGGGCCGTAGGAAGCTAGTTGTCGGGCTTAAAAGACTCTTTACGTGGCTTCTCTTCGGGTTTTTATTTGGGGCTCCACAGTTTCCGCCTTACGTGACGTTGCGTCTCCTTTAAAGCCGCCGGGCAGCGCAGCGATGATCGCCGGGGATCCCCCTCTCCGAGCCGGACACTCTGGTCAGCGGTGAATCAGACAACCACCGCTCCTTCATCAGTGCGGCTTCGGAGGAGAAGAAAAGAGGCGGAAAAAGCCCCAACATGTTGATGCTGTTCCCCCAGTGAGTGGGACCGAGAGAGGGAGGAAATCAAACCCCCGTCACCGCCGCCGACACGCTCTCACATCCCGGGGGCTGCCTCTCCTCAGCCGCCGCGGATCACCGTTGATGACATTTGCTCGGAAGCGGTCGTGCCTTTTGTTTTCGTTTCGGGAAGAGACGAGCGACATGCGGATCCGCGGACGCCTCGGAGCGGAGGTTCTCTCGCTGCCGTGAAAATGAGGAAGAGCCTGCACGAAGACCCAGAAAATGGCAAGAAGGTCTCGTCGTCCGCGGGCCCGGATTTTAGTAAAATGAGAAGGAAAGGAGCGAACGCGACCGCGGCATGATTTCTCGTCTCCCCCCCCGCAGAATGACTGGTGAGACGGCGGAGGAAGAGAAGACGCAGCATCAATGAAGGCGATCTGGAACAAGTTTTGAGTCGCTCACAATGAACACAAACACTTTTCGATCGTTTCTATAATATTAAAAAGATTGTTTTCGCCTTGGGGAGATTTTCTAAATCAACATTCATCTATTTTTCGCATTCTATTTGTTACCATTTTGAGTTATTGTTATTTTTTTGATATTTCTGATCCGGATCCAGCCCCGACTGTTCAATGGAAGTATGTTATCAGCTGCCGGTTTTGCCTCTAGACAGGCCGGTTCCCAAGCATGTACTCAGCCGGAGGGGAGCCATTAGTTTCAGCTCCAGCTCTTCTCTCTTCGGGGCCCCTGATCCAAGACAGCTGTCACAGGTAAAATAACATTTAAAAAAATCTAAAACTCATCTCATCTGTTGTTGCATTTAAACAGCAGCTCTGGCTCTGGGAACCACTCCGGCCTTAAAACCGGCACATTTCTTTAACAGACACATGAATAATCCACAGGAATCTTGCAGGTGGTTGTTGGATATCTAGGCCCCAACACACAGACATACTGAACACTCACCCTGCACAGATGCACGCTACATTTTCTTATCTCTTAGACCCAAAACACAGCAACTAGCCCATCTCCCAAAACCAATCTACATTTGTGCATGTTGCCCACAGATAAAGGCCTTCTTGGCTTATACTTTGGCCAGCACTGATGGTGTGATGCCATAAGTACACCAGTTTACTCCTGGGAGTTGCTATGTTTGTCAGAAGGAACGTGCCACACTGATATTTATGTTTGTGCGCCTTGACATATTGACAGAAGGAGCATATATCATCGGGTCACACTTGAACTTCCTGCTTTCTCAGAGTCTTGAACTCTTGAAAATGTTCCTCTGGTAAGCCTGCCTCAATATTTCTGCTCTGTGACAGAAAAGAACGGTAGGCCTCAAAAACACAGTTTTCATGGCGTGGGGTAACATTTTTGCTTTCTGGCACGCCAGCACAACGAACCCATGATGCATTAGCCAAGCACTGAGTCACTGTTGTGTTTGAGCATGTGTCTCAGAGGGTGAAACACCCATTAGGCCACTGTCCAGTACTCTTGTTCAACTAACAAACGCATGTGTAACCTCCACTCAGAGAAAAGTTGCACATCAAGTAACGGGTCGAGCACCGTCCCCACTATGCTACACTCTTTAAAATTAAATTACCTTCTTTTTATTGCCTCAGTAGTTTTGCACAAAAGCTGCACAATGAATCCTCACCTCTTTGCGTCACGTCCTGCTAGTTGCTCATGAACAGAAGTTCCCACCGCACTGCATGGCATTTCCCAACACATTAACCAAGCATTAAGTCACAGTCTTTGACTGTGGGAGCAACCTTTTCAATGGGCTGTCCATTAGTGCTTTGTGCAGGACCCTGCTCCACATAACCACCCATGTGTGTCCGCTTTGAACTTAACCACACCATCACAGGCAGCTTCGTCAAAGACGTCATGGCCCTCCATAGGATAGTGTCAACAGACCTAAAGGTTGCTCGTCTTCTGTAGTCTTTTGTTGAATAATATGGTGGGAGATCCATTCACTTCAAAATTTCAGTTGTAATGCTGTCACTCCATCATCACTCTGTCTGGTTGAAGAAGACTAATAAAAATAATCCAAGGCCCTGAAGTGGCGAACCCTGGCCATCCAAGGTCCAAAATGGAGAACCTATAATGGTATAATGCTCGATTGTTCATCCTCGGCATACAAACACCAGTGTAAAGCTATTGTGTCTCTCGGGAAAGTTCACCAGTTGATTTCTCAAGTGGGTCAGAGTTTATTTCCAATTGACAGGGGTGAGATGTGCTGTTGTTTTGTTCCTTTATTCTGAATAAGTGTCATTTCCATCAAGCAGTGCTCTCTGTAGTGTTAAGTGAGTTTTCCAGGGAAACAATAATGGTTTGCATGTCATATTTGTAGAGACGTTATTTAATCACACAAGGGTTACTATCACTACCATCACCAACATCAGGACCTGACAGCAAGGGGATCCAGTAATTCAACATGACGCACCGCTGACATATTCTTATACTCCTCCTGAATGTTGGAGCAGTCCTGAATGTGAGCGTGCATGTGCGCGTATGGCTCTGTCACTCAGCCTTTGTTAAAGAGCAATTACACTTCTACAAATATTGTGTTTCGGGCCCTATTTATGACCATAAGGGTGCATTTGTCCTTGGTGGCTGCTGTGTTTTCGTGTGTGGTTCCACAAGCCTGTTGTTTGTGGAAGCAGGGCTGGACTACCATTGCAGAAGGAGGCAGTTAGGCATGTGCCTGGGCTCTGTGGGCAGTGGTTTGGCTTGCTGCCAGACTCACAGATGGCCCGAGTCTCAGTCTTTCTCGCTGGCTATCTTGTTCTGCTCACTCACAAGCTCCCCCCTCTCTTTCTCTTTCTCCTCAATACCCCCCCAACCCCACCCGCCTTCCTCGCAGATGAAGACATTTCCTCTTGTAAACAGAGGACGAAAGAGTAGGGTTGAGGACATGACCGAGTCTCAGATGAATATGTCACTCAGTGGTCATGGAATGCTTATGGGTGTGAATATGCTATTGAGGAGGCGTTGAAAACTGCAGCAGCGTTAAATAAATGGGCTTATTTGTCTTTTACAATGCCTCTATTGTTTTTTCATCACAATGCATGTTTGCTGCTTGTTGAGAAATTCAGCAAAGAGAGGTGGAAGATGATTTGAATTTTGCTCGTCACGTGGTTCCCAATCCAAACCACACATGACACGTGTATTTGCATGTTAAGTTTTCTTGGAATAATTGCACACATGACATATTTCTTCATCATGTGTCATGGCTGTCATGGTACGAATACCACTCTCACACACAGGCTGTTGTTGACTACATTTTCAAAAAAAAAAAAAAAAAAATCTGAGAGAGATACAAGAATCAATAAACGGATGCACGATATAGATGTGGTCTGAGTAGTCACATGGCTTTTGACGATAATGGGCGGAAAGAAGCTTAGACTGGAAACACTGATCTGCTATCATCTCTGTCCATCATATCACAGTCAGAGATAGCATCAAGCTTACGTTGGCCACTGACCCTAGATCGACTCCTTTTCTTTGTAGATCTTTAGACGCAGCAGCTGATGATAGGCCTGTGTGCGTAAGAAAGGGAGATAGTGCCACTTGTTTCATCCACACTATGAATGTTTCTGTGCAGAGCCTGATAAGGAATACACTTGAGTGCCCCTTTCTGAGGGAGTTACTTTGTTGATTTTAACTGAACCGATAAGGTGTTTTTTTTTTTTTCTCTTTGGTGCAGTGCAATCGGATTGACGTCGTTTCAGGATGTGGTAAGAATGCTGAAGGAGCCATTCAGACTCTGAGCCTTGGGTTTCACAACCTTTCTCCAAAATGTTAACCCTTGAGCTGCAAAAAACAAGCTTTTCTCAGAAATTGGCGTGAGCGAGCTTGAAAGCGTGGGTCCTGTTTGTTATTAAGCAAGGATGTGTATTATTTAGTAAATATACTGGAGCCAAACCTTACATCCTGTCTTCGTTTAAACATACACGCACTCCCTGTTTCTCTGCCTGTCTGTCTCTGTCGGTAAGGGGCCCCTCTTATCACATGACCATTCTGTTTTTGTGCTGCTGTGTCGAGTGCAATCGGCCGTAAGAAGGTGGCTCCACATATCAACGCACTAAGGGACACAATGTCAAGAGCTAACTGGCTGAATATTAATCATGTTTTCTGTAGTCCTATAGACATATGAGATGAGTCTATACAGGAAGAGGGAATTTATTTTCCAGGG